TTAATTGGGGGCCGTGCCGATGAACAGCCAGGCCCCGGTGGCGGCGCGGTTTTGTTCGGGAAGCAGGGAAAAGATTGAGGCTGTCACAAAGCGCCTCGTCAGACAGCGGCGATGCCAGGCAGGCCTCCCGCTCCTCGCTCTCTCTTTTATTAAATAAATCTTTAATTAGGTCAACAGCTACCGGCGGAGAGAGGAGCGTGGGGTGTCCTCTGTTCTGCTTTCGCCGCGGTGGCGAGCTGCGGACACTCACTGCCGGCTCCCGGCGGTTTGGTTTTTTTCCCCCCTGGATTTTTCCCGCGGGTGATGCGATCCTGGAAACGTGCTCGGGACGAAGGGGGAGGCGTGAGCTCGTGTGCCCTGGGAGCAGCAGAGCCATGTGCCACAGGCATGGGGCCCCCTCCCCAAAGCTGCGGAGATGAGGGGAAAGGGTTGGGAATAACAGGTCAGCCCCTGTGCTCCATGATCCCGGGGGATTGGGGCCAGCTCTGCCATGGAGCCCGCCACCAGCTCCCAGCCAACGATGCTGTGATGGAGCTGAGCCTAAGCAACCTTTCTGGGGACACCTATACTGGTGGGGGTGACACATTTCTCTCCCCGCTCCAGGACCTCCCTTCATTGTTTCCCCTCCGGAGAACATCACGGTCAACATCTCCCAGGATGCGCTCTTCACCTGCCAGGCCGAGGCGTACCCCGGGAACCTCACCTACCTGTGGTACTGGGAAGAGGAGAACGTCTACTTCAAGAAGTGAGTTTGCAGCCAGTGGGATGATGCATCCTCCTCCTTTTGCTCCCAAATCGTGCTGGAGCCACCGAGGGGATGAGCATTGCCCCCCGGGTCTCCCTGCCATCATCCTCCCCTCTTCTCTCACAGCGACCTGAAGCTGAGGGTGCGCATCCTGATCGATGGGACGCTGATCATTTTCCGCGTCAAGCCAGAGGATGCTGGAAAATACACCTGTATCCCCAGCAACAGCCTGGGCCGCTCGCCATCAGCCTCTGCCTACCTGACGGTGCAGTGTGAGTGTGGGCAGCGGGACCCGATCCTGAGGGATGTGGCTGGGATTGATAACACCCAGCTCTGAGGCAGCCCCAGGGGCTCTGCCGTGCTGGTATGATACTGGGGGGCTCGGGTTGACGTGCCAGCAGCCTTTGGATGAGTGTGCAATCATCCTCAGCAAAGGGCTGAGAGCATCCCACATGGGCTTGTAGGGTGTGGGCAACGAGGTGGCCAATAGCCTGAGCACCCTGGGTAGCACCGGTGTCCACCGTTGGTACAAGTGGGTTTTGGCTAGGGGGGCATCTTCTTACTGCTGCCGCCAGCACGCTGTCCTCATCGGCTGCATCGTATCGGGCAGGGAAACACCGGATCAGGGCTCTCGGTCTCCCCTCCCTACTTGTATTTTTCAGTATTTATTACGGGGGCTTGTTCCTGTGGTGTGGTTTTTCTGTGAGCCCGGCAGCTTTGCGTGCCGTGTTTTTCAGGCAGTAACTGATCTAAACAAGCCGGGGGAGAAGGGGCTGTAGCAGGAGCGTTGCTTCCCACGCTTGTTCTCTCGGGCTCCCCGGGCAGTAATGGGTAGTGTGCCACCGGCGCCCCGTGGCATTCGACAGCAGTAATGGTTTCAACTGCTGCCGCTAAGCAATTGCGATATTGCTCCGCTGTAAAAGACAGCGGTGGTGGTTTTATTTTATAATGAAAGGCATTATAGCGGGCTCGCAACTTGGGTTTTGAAGGCTGCCTTTGAGCTGCTGCCTGTAGCCCTGGTGCTGGTTAATGGGAAGCCCCACACCGGTGGGGGACCCCGCCATGAGAAGGGCTGGTAGGTGCCGTCGCTTCCCTATGGGGATGGATGAAGGGGCAGGGGGATGGTGTGACTGGTGCCGTGCCCAGGCAGAAGCATGGTTCGGGGCTTGGATGTGCCGGGCTGGGTGGCTCTTGGGAAAGCGCGCGGCCTCAGGCTGTTAAATCTGCCCTGCCGCTAATCCAGGACCACTCGTCAAGGCTGATAGCTGTTAAAAATAGCTCTAATGGCAGGAAAACCAGCGTTTGGACAATCTGCCGCTTGGACGGCCCTGTGAGGCATCGGCGCAAGGAGGCGTGTGGGGCTTTTTGTGCTGCAAACCCCTTTCCTCCGGAGCCAACAGTCTCACCTGTACCGGGGCTGATGCCTGGGGAGGGAGGCTTCCCACCCGCCGAAGCAGCCGTCGGACGGGGCCGCGGCTCTGGGTCATCGGTGAGCCGGGCTGGCCCCCAGCCAGTGACCTAGTAGTGAAAGGCTCGATCCCATTACCCTCTCCCACGCCGCCGGAGCCTTTGATTACATTTCCTAAGAGGTGGAGTCAAGCGGAGGGGGGGATGAAGCCCGCTCCATATGCAGCGCTTGGCAATCTGGGTTACGGTGCCATTGCCGGGGGCACGCAGTTTCGGGGGGCGGTCGGGGTTACGTGTTTCGGCAGGGAGGGAGCAGAGCTCCCAAGCTGGGTAGCTTTTGCTGTCCTCCATCCCTTCTTCCTCAACCCCTTACCTTCACCCCCAGCTTTGCATCTTTGCATCAGCAGTGCGGGGATGCTGCACCCCAAAAAAATGGCGTTCATCCCTTAATGCAGCGTAAGCCCCGCCAGGATTTTCCCGTAACCTCGTGCTGCCGCTGTCTAGACAAGATTGTAGAAATACTCGCTCTTCTTATTAAAAGTAACTTTTTTTTCTTTTTTGTTTTTTTAAAAAAGAATCTTCTTATTAAAGAAAGTCTAGATTCTCTCCAACCCACTCGCACTTAATTAAAAAGCTCTTAGAAGCACTGTTAATGACACATTCTAGACTGGAGGATTGCGAGACGCCTCGCTGCGTGGGTGGTGCAGCGCGGGGGGGGTTAGGTATGTATTTTAAGCTTTTGCATCCCGTCGGAAAGGGTGGAGGTGGCTGATGCTCAACGCGACCCAGCCTCGATGAGGCATGGGCTGTGCGTCCAAACAGATAGGAGGTAAAAGGCTGGCGGCAGCCCGGCCACGGGTCCCTTCTCCCATCTTGCTTGCTGCAGTTGGTGTGCTTTAAGGCTCGGAAGTTGAAATAGTTTTCATTGCTGGCGTGCAAAACCCGGCCGCGGGGCAGGCGGGTGGCTTTGCTGGGTGTGCACCACGCCGTGCACATGTCCCGCAGGCCGAGCGTGATGGAGCAGCTTGGCCTTCAGGAGGGCGCAAGCCGGGGC